TTTTTCCCCACTGTCAGGCGGGGGCTTGAGTGGCCTCAAGCTGGTCCTCAGCAGGGCAGAAACGTCTCTGAGAGCTGCTGGGGTCTCCGAGAGTTGCAGGTTTTTGTGGATATTTGTTAGCGGTTCGTTTTCACCCCCGCGTCTGTCGAGGCAGCGCTCCCGTACAGGCGGCGCCGAACCGTTCACGTGGGAGTTCAGATCGCTTGCGCCGAGTGAGAGAATGACTAAGCGCTGGTGAAACGAAGGAAGGTGACGACTGGCGTGGGACTGGCTGGGAAAAGCCTCGCTCAAGTATTTTTTTGCGCCGTAATGAGAAGGTGGCAGAGGCGGCTGTGGGATCGCCAACACCGGGCCGCGCAGCAGCTTTACTCCTTGAGCTGGGCTGTTACAGCAACCGGCGCTTGAACTTTCACAGCAAAGTCGTAACTCCTCCTCTTGCAGGAATTTCGGGGCTTAGACGGGGGTTTTCACGTACCACAGCCTTGCAGTCTGTTTTCGAACAGGGCGGCTTCGAAGCCCAGCCAACCTGAGCGACAAGATTTTCCTCAATTACTGCCGCTAAATGAGTAACTCTCCTTTCACGTGCTCTCCTCCGCGCTCTGCCCTGGTGTCCCTGACCTCCGCTGGCCCCGTTGTGGGCCGCGGAGGCAACGGTCTGGCTTTTGACCTCTGAAATAGGCCGGGGCTGCTTGACGAACCCTTCCTGGGCGCGATGTGGCTCAGCAGGCGCGAGCCCTGCTGCTGTGTTTCCTCATCTCTGTTGTCACACCGTTGTAATCGTGCAAGGCATACGGCTGTGACAGCGTTTCTGAACAGACATCTTAACGACGTGAAGAGCTCCCATCTTCAGCTAGCCCTTCGTGCCCCGCATAAAGACTTTCTTTTCAATTTAAGTCTCTTAACTACATTTTTGATCTTGCTCTCCAGGCACACTCGCCCCATGCTAGGTCTTGGTGTGTTCCCTCTTGCTTACGCAGGCTTGTTTACGTGCCATTTTTCAATCACTGAATCAATTAGTGCTTGCGGCTGCCACGGTATCTAAGTGCTTTCTGCATTAAAATGTAGCAGCGCTGCCGTGGAAGAGCCTGGACCCCTAAAACTCGCCTGGAAAAGCTACGCATCCCTTTGCCAGCACCTTGGGTTTTGTAACCGCCTGTGCTTGCGTGCGGCGTGCTCTTGTTTTCAACTTTCAGCTCGCAGTCCCTGAGCAGGTCTTTGGGGGGGCGGGGGGGGGGGGGATCACTGCGCCGGTATCATAGAATCATAGAATCATTAAGGTTGGAAAAGAGCTCTAAGATCATCGAGTCCAACCGTTGACCCAACACCCCCATGCCCACTAAACCATGTCCCTCAGCGCCTCATCTACTCGTCTTTTAAATACCTCCAGGGATGGGGACTCCACCCCTTCCCTGGGCAGCCTGTTCCAATGTTTCACCACTCTTTCAGTACAGAAATTTTTCCTCACGCCCAATCTAAACCTCCCCTGGCGCAACTTGAGGCCGTTTCCTCTCGTCCTATCGCTTGTTCCTTGGGAGAAGAGACCGACCCCCACCTCGCTACAACCTCCTTTCAGGTGGTTGTAGAGAGCGATGAGGTCTCCCCTCAGCCTCCTCTTCTCCAGGCTGAACAACCCCAGTTCCCTCAGCCGCTCCTCATCACACTTGTTCTCCAGACCCCTCACCAGCCTCGTTGCCCTTCTCTGGACACGCTCCAGCACCTCGACGTCCTTCTTGGAGTGAGGGGCCCAAAACTGAACACAGTATTCGAGGTGCGGCCTCACCAGGGCCGAGTACAGGGGCACGATCACTTCCCTGCTCCTGCTGGCCACACTCTTTCTGATACAGGCCAGGATGCCATTGGCCTTCTTGGCCGCCTGGGCACACTGCCCATCAATTTCTGGTGGCTGATCACACTTACCCGGGAGGTCGGATTCGCAGCCTTGGCTGGAAGGGGCTAAAAGAGGGCGAGCGGCTGTGAATATCGAACGGCAGCAGCGAAACCTCGGGAAGGTTTCACACCTTTTGTGGGGTGTTTTGGTTTTTTTTTTTTGAGCGCACTCAGGTTGCAGATGTGACTTGGCCTCCTCTGCAGGCTGGACCAGGACCCGTTCTTCTGTACCCGGGGCCCTGCGCACCGTAGCGGAGGGATGCAGCAAAATGCACCCTGAGCCTCGGCTCGCTGGGGTGACAGCAGAACCGCTGGAGGACCTCCTGATGGATCTCACCTGCCTTGGGGACGTACCTGTGTGACGTGCTTCCCCGGCGTGAAGTCCCCCAGGAGGTCCTGGGTTTGACGGCTCTATAAAAGGCATTAGGAATTTACTGGCACCTCTGGGTGCTCAGACGTGCACGTAACCTGCAGCACAAACAGGCGTGAGGCGACCTTTGGCTGGTTGCTTCAAAGTCCACTGTTTACCGATGGTGCCAACGGCAACGGCAGCCTTTTTATTGAGCTCCGCTGTTTGCTCAGGAGCTCTTAAAAAGCAGCTAAGCCCGAGCGATTTATTCTGCTGTGATTTGGCTGAAGCATCCGTGGTTTCTTTGGTTTCTTCTGCAGTCCTAGGTTCCCCCCCCGCCCCCCCCGTTGCGACGACTCTGGGCGTTAATAGCAGAGCTGCTTGGAAAGGCTCTGGGTATTTCAAAACCTATTAAGTCCCCACCCATCCTGTCTGCATCACCGCATCTCCCACTCCCGTAATCCTCCCCAGTTCTTTGCCGTGTTCTACGCGGAACTTTTAAAATGAATCCATCCCCTCTTCGTCCTTCCCCGGGGGTCTCTCCGGATACTTCGGGGCAAGGTGCAGTTGTCTGGAGGGTTCCTGGGATCAGAATAGGGGGATGGAGCTGGCAGGATTTGGGGGAGAGAAGGCAAACGGCTGCAAAACGGGTGCCGGGTTGCTGCAGCTCTGCTCCCGGCGTTGGCTCGGCTGGCGGCGCACCAAGGGGCTTCCCTGGAAGGCTGTGTAGGTGTCACGGGGGAGAAACAGGGAATTATCCTACCGCAAACGGTTTGTGATGGCTGTGTCAGGTGGTTCTGCTGCAGCCCCGGTGCCAAAATGACTCCTCGTGTGTTAGCCGTGCGGTGGGTGACGGAAAGGACGTGCCAGGAAGGCCACCGCGGGGTTTGGTTATGAGTAGGGCGGCTTTCAGGAAACTGTATTTCAGAGGTTCTGCAAATGCGAGGGTTGCGGGTATCGAGAGCCCATTTTGCTAATAAAAATTAGCAAACTTTGAAGATCGATCCTGTCTGGTAAAGGGGAAGGACCGAGCGCGCCGCTAGCACCCGCCACGTGATGCAGGTCTGGTCGGGGCTTCGCCCTCCCTCCGGCGGGGGC